AGGTGAAGAACCATTCAGAGGCCCAGAAGGACAGTTCCACGAAGCACCAAAAGGAGAGCCATTCAGAGGACCTGGAGGAAACACGCACGGCGGTGTTGGTAGTGATCAGGAGAGGCAATAAAGCCGTATAGCGGCCCCTTCCGCACGAACTTCGCGATACATAGTTGTTAGAAAACATATAAAAAGTCCTATAAACAGCAATAAAATGTATTTGACAAGTGTGTTCACTTAACAAGAGCAAATGATGGAAAAAATGATAAAAACATTTGACAAATTAGAAATCTCACTTAAGAAGCAAAGAACTACGTCGTGAAGTTGCCAGGGCAGATTTTGACATCTGTTCGATACCGATGTATAGGATTTGTTTCTATGTGATATGACGAAGAACGCCATACCAGAGACAAGTTCATTTAGTAAATAAGCCTATACCGTTCGATCCCGCTTTGCTCCCATGGTACAGCTCGAGACTCAATGAAATGATTGCCGAGATCTCATGTAGGGCGAATCCATGGCTCCTAGGAGTGCCATGAAGGGCGTTTTAGGGTCAATCAACAGTCTACATAGGGCGCAACAAGGGCTTGTAGACAGGCTTCGTGACATTCCCGCCCGGGAGCGGACGAGTTTTCGGGCTGCATCATTCAGAAGGTAACCTATGCTGAAAATTCAAACAATAGTTGTGACCCATTCGACAGGGGAAGGCAATTTCGGGCATACTGGGCTGTGGAGCTTACTCCAACATCTTCTTCGAGATCTGCTCAAATGACTTCACACGTCGATGCCTTTCCAAACTTTTATCAGAACCCTATTTAGGATTCTCATATTTGTTTTTGATGATTCTTCGGTAAAGAAAAGCATACACCAGCAAAGGACTGATTGAATAGCTCTATAGGGCTCCATGACTGAGATTGGCCTCCAAAATGAACTATTGAACACTGACCTGACTAAGAGCGCTCTCATTCGGAAAGTTTTAAAAACTTTGAGCGAGCAATGTTTGTAAAAATGGTTGTGTTTTATTCGTCCCAGCCACGAGGGCACTTTTCAAGCAGCTTAAGTCCTTGCCTACATTGCCTGACCTCTTTCCAGCGAGCTCTTTGAATCGCTGTTACCAGATACAGGGAAATGTCAGATCAGAGATCTGCCAAGTGAAAATAAGTGGGCGTAACTCAATGACCCTTACTAGAGGATGAAGTATTTGGGTTCTAATCAATCCTGCCTAAGGGATGCGCCCACGCATTCGACCTCCATTCAGACTCGTAGTCGAGTATTGAATGCGTATGTGACCAGTACAATGACTTGCGGTGGCCAGCCGATGTGCAGTTCAGTGCTTTTACCCTCCTAGACGAGTCTGGTAACAATTTACCGACCCTGGAAGCATGAAGGCTTGTCCCACTACACCACTTCCGCCATACCCAGGCTAACGACCTGTAAAATAGCATTTCTGAAACAAAACGAAACACTCAACCGCTAAGCTTTTATTCATGACTAAAGAGGGCAAACACCAGCATATTCGTTGAATAAAATGCTCCGACGAAGCTTGGCATGTTCCGAAAGAATCGAGTTGCACACCGTGTCAAAGTTAACATAAAGGAAATAATGATCCACGGGGTGACAGCCAGCCAAAAAATTAGTAAGTAATTTGAATCATGTGAACAGCTTTTGTGAATAGTCAGAGCACTACCTCGTGAATCCGGGTTTTCCTGGGTCCCTGTAGCACCCTTCGAGAACAAACAATAGTCATGAGGGGTAGCTATGTCGTAGATGCAGTTGAAGTACAAAACTGTGGAGCTTTGCGGGTTTACCTTGAAGTCAGTTCATTCAGCCATTCATCAAAGACGAGTGAATTTATACTCACGTCATTCTCCCTATCTCAGAATTCGATTCAGTAGCCCTTTTTTAAGTATAAGGCGTCCTGATCTATTCAAGACATCGTTTTCTGCTACTTGTTTAACATTTTCGATTGAGTTTTTACTACTTGTTTTATCGTCGCCTATCGATACCAAGGTTTGAATTGCAGCAACACTATCAAACAACTTTATAGCTTCGCGTTCGAGATCAACTCCGTGGTCCCGAGTTGATAGACAAAAAGCATTTTGCACAATGTCTATCAAGAAGGGACCATAGAGTTAATCCGGAATGAAAGATGTCACTCACTTTGCTGTTTTACTGTTTCTTCTAATCTATACTGTCCATCAGGTTTTGAGAGGAATCCTTTATGTTTATTAATTTCAAGCAGCCTTTACGTGGTTGCTCCTCGTCCTCTGCACCCATTCAAATCCAAACGGCTACCTGCTGGTCCTTTGTGGAGATGCCCTTCAGCTCCTCTGTACGGAGTTACATCTGGTCCACCTGTGTCCGTCGCGATTGTCCCGCCAAGGCTAATCCGCATCGGTGGTAGCTCGGCAAGGGTCTTCTGCCCGCTCGCCATGCTCGTATTCAACTGNNGGCGTGGACTGCCCCAGTCTCCCTTGCGAGCTCCTATAGCCTTGTACTGCCTCCGGAGCACGCTAGGGGGTTGCTAGCCCAGTCGAGCTCCCTCGGACGCTGGCCGCACGGTTCTACTATGACCTACATAGGCTATCCCCTGCGCTAAGGATAACTGCAGTATAAGGATGTTACCAAAGTAAAGCTCACATTATAAATTATACTGTTTTATGGCAAACTACGTATAGAAAGAGAAGAATTAGATACGAGTAAGTATAAGTGTTACGATACGAAAGTACTATGAGAAAAGACATGGAAAATACACATAAACATAAAATCACACTCAACCTACGGACTGGGTACGATCCGCTCAATTCTCGTCCTGGGCCATCCAAATCATCAAAACCTCCTTCTGGCACCATTGCTCCAAGGTCCTTCCATGGCTGCGGCCATGCATCTTGATGTTCCTTGCTTGCGACATACTTATCAGCGATATCACCACCGGTAGATGGCAACAGCGTGGTGCTACGAGAACCGTTGGGGCTACGTCGATGGCATTGACATCGAATAACACCAGAAGACGGCGAAGGGCAGGCGGCTACGACGATGACGGCGACGACGAATGATGATGCAACTGTCGCATAGCGGCCAGAGTCCACTGCCGCGTGGCAAACTCTAGCTCCCTGCAGCCTACTGTGCCTTTCCCGGCGGGACTACGGCCGCGCCACGCCAGGCCGACCTTCAAGTCGTCGGAACCGCACGACAACCTGCTTGCCCGTCTGTGCCTGTCACGAGCAGTCCTCTCAATCCGTCCAGTGGATTCCCACTTGGCCGGCTGAAGCTGCAGTTTAGGCGTTAAAGTGAAGGTCCTTCCAATCGCTCACTCGGGAATCCTCACCATCAGTTCCTCCAGAAGAGTTTAGGCGGCAATTTGGTTGCTCCTTGTGAAGGATCTCAATGCTGTCCACTAATTGTCGACTTCCTGCCACTTTTAACATCGACAATTTGAAAGCATGAATCATGAAATTGACTGTGCACTTACGTTCCGGGTTTCTGCTCGTCGAATTTTTATACTACAACATCTTCTGTTGGATTACTTTATACAATAGTCACACACGAAATATCATTTAATCCTACTATGTATAAGACGTGACCGAAAATTCATAACTCTTGTTCCCGTGAACCTAGAGCCTTCAAACTAGGTAGGAGTACAGGTGGCGGGATGAAAACAATCATGGTGGGTGGCATGACTGAATTCCGCCCACAGGGGGAGAGGGGTGCACGGAAGTTGTTCCCTTGGCCGTGTGGCATTCGACTTTGTAAGAGGTACTGGATTAAAACGCCGAAGAATGAACCAAATTATTACTTGCTACATATTATGACTTGAGCAGAACTCTGCTATGATGTGCTGATAGCTCAATCCCGAGACTCTTGAAGACTGCTCTCCTCTACCAGAGCATCCAATTTTGGAAGGGATGCGGGCGGCAGGTGAAGTTCAACACGAAAAGTAGGAAATCCCAGCGTCAGCCGGTCGCTCCGACTGGTTTGATATAAGAGTCATGAAACTTCAAAGTTGGTGGAAGTAAAAGGAAGATGATTAGCACGGGATGGAAAAATCCCGGAAGTTTTCAAGCTTTCGTTTTACTGACAAAACTTCTTCCTTTTTGGAAGAAAGAAAAATTGATTTCTACTGGATGAAAACGTACCGAGACCGTGTCCAGTAAGGTGGCGAAAGCTATGGGTACATGCAAATACATCTGACGATAAATCGCGCTAGGGACTGCCGGAGGGCAAGAAGAGAACAAGCTACTGGAACAAACATCGAGTACCTAGGCTGAGATGTTCGATACAAGGGCCCGGGGAAGAAGACGAAAGGGTAGGTAAAAATTTTTTGGAGGGAGAGCGTAATGACGGGTGCTGCTAGTGCCATCTCCTCGCAATTTGTAATGAATTGCTAGATTCGAAAAATGGCTATCATTATCTATTATTTTCACAAGACAGTGCTTGAACAGTCTGCAGTCAGCTGTTGATCTGCTGCAAATCTCTTTCAGTCCATGTTTGAACAACGAGAACCTTTTTTCTAAAAAGACATCGACACATCACATCCTATCAAATCGAATTCCCACATTATTTTTTATGCTTTAATTTTTGATTCCAAAAGGAAAACTCCCTGCTCATGGGGATTTGTTGAGTAAGATCCCATCATATCACTCAGAAACCCAAGTAGAAATCAAAAATAGCAATTACCAATGGATTAATTTTTCGGCTCTGATCAATCCCTTGCGAAAATACCCTCCGGCATTCAACTTCCATTCAGAGTCCTAACAATTTCTGAATGCGAGTATGGCCTATACGATAACTTGCCGTAGCCAGCCGATGGAGGTTTTAATGCTTTCATCCTCCCGGACGGAACCGGTACCAGTTGACCGACCTGGGAAGGATTGAATACTTGGAAGGCTTAGGCGTATATCGAGCAGGGAATCGATCACCGGGCCATATTTTTGTGATAGAGGGTAGATTTTGCTCGAAGAACTCACTCAAACGATTTCGTTGCTACACAGGGAGGTTGCGAATCCATGCACTTGAGAATAACGCCATTCTTTTCTTGTGAAGCTCTTCTAGTTTTTGGAGACTCGAAATGATCCCATAGCAACAATTCCTCTATAAAGCAGCCCAACAAATGTTTCAGATGTGTGGATGGAATAATGGGAAACAATGCCGATATTTACTTTTATGAATTTCACTGTGAAAATACTGTTTTCATAGGAAAAATTCAATAAATGTTGTCCAAATAGCAGTAAAATGAATATAGAATAGAGGTGGTTGCAGACTGTCTGAGGGCTGCTTTTAGAAAAAGACAACGTTGACGCCCTCGGTTGATTATGGGAGTTCTGTATAAAAGCCAGGATGGTAGCATTGGTGGCATCCCATCAGTTCATTTCCTCTTCATTGAATCTTCACAGCTCTTTCTGCTTCATATGTAGGCTTTGATTTTGATCATTTTGCCCAGTAGTCAATTGCTTTACCAAAGGAGCATTTGTTGGGATCTTGAAAAATCATCTGGTAACACAATAGCAGACAAAAGAATATTCTGAGTTATTTTCAGATGAATTTATACATCGCCCTGACCGCTGCGGCATTATTTGGAGCTTTCCCGGTATGTTCTTTCTTCAGAAATGTATTTCACTAGAAAACCGTGAGGGTTTTCTGTAGATAGAGGCATCGGCTTCCATGTAGCACAGGGTGCTCGAAGGCACACTCCACGACGATTTTGAGATGCCTTTTTTAGTTGAAATTACAAGTGTTCGTAGAGAATATGCATTGGGGGCTAAGGGAGCAAGAAAATCTGGCAGCGTTCATGAAATGTAAGGATTGTATGAAATGTAAGGATTTAAAAGTAGTGATAGTAGGGGGTTGGTGGGATTGCCAATGTGAGGGTGTTCGGAATTTAAATTTTAGTTGTTACAGTTCCGTAAAGAGCTGACCACCTTGAGCCACAAATGTCCAAAACTACCTTCAACTGTAGCCATGGGTCACTATCAGTTGCTTGAATTTCCAACATCCGTGCCCTTTTGTGAATGGTGCAGCCTCCACAACGCCGGTGAAACTCGCCCGCCTCTGGGTGTATATACCGAGCGAGTAGATCACTGGCGTTGTTGGTACCCCAAGGCTATTAATGACTCAGCAGCGCCCTATATGGCATAATTGGAGGTCCTAGTTGTGAATCTCGCGAATCATTTTCTTCGTGAACTGCGCAGACCTTTTTCGAGATCTTTGCTGCTTGTCATCTACTTTTTCACTGCGAGCTAAAGCGGGCACACGATTCCCAATCAGGCCGACGTGAGGTATAGGAAGTATTATTTGAAATTATGTGGCTCGGGGAACTAGCCTGTTACCTTGTCGGTGCTATCCAGTAACAAGGGATTCGGTGGATAGTAGCTCGCTCCGTCTTGATGGAAAAGCTTAGTGGTAGATTTGAGCTGCTCTACCTTCTAGATACCTACAGTGCAATATCAAAATTAGTTATTTGCTACTGGTACCCTCTAGTGTAAGGGCTCCATATGAGACTGTTAGTTTTTGATTCATTCAA